CCGAAAATTCTAGTTTTCTTAAGCATCGCCTAAGGTGTACCACTGACCGGGTCCCCGTACCTATAGGGTCCTGGCCATACCCGAGCTGGACCCCCCCCCTGGCGGCGCCCCCGGCGCGCCCCCCGCCGCGCCTCGCGCGCCAGGCAGGGGCAGGCCCGGCGCCGACCCGAGACATCCACGCGGAGACCTCCTCCGAGAGCTCGTCTTCGCGCCGCCACCCCAAGTCGCTCAATATAAATGTGTATATACATACATACATACATACATACATACCTACCTACCTACCTACCTACCTACCTACCTACCTACATACATACATACATACATGCATGCATGCATGCATGCATGCATGCATGCATGCATACATACATACATACATACATACATACATACATACATACATGCATGCATGCATGCATGCATGCATGCATGCATGCATACATCCATGCATGCATGCATGCATGCATGCATACATACATACATACATGCATACATACATACATATATACATACATGCATACATACAGACATACATACGTACATATATATACCTATATATATATATGCGTAGGGGCGGGTCCATCGCGTGGGGGGCAGCATGAGCCCGTCCGGGCCTGGTGCCGACCCAATGAGTCCGCGCTAGCACGAGTACGGCAGGCTCGTGTCGTGAGGATCCCCGGCGCTGGCTTCTAACATCGCGGGGATCCTTCGACCTGGAACGATCGGCCGTTTTTCCGAAACGTCAGATCGTTCCACGTCGACCGATTCTGGGTCGCCGGCGGCGTTCGACATGGAACGCCGGCGGCGGGGTCGCCGCCGGTCGACACGACACGAACCTACCGTATACGCCGGTCCGAAGAAGTGGGAAAACACATGAAGTAGAAGGCGGATGAAGTAGGTTGGATTCAGGCCCTCCCAGAAAATCACAAACACTGCAAAAGCACAGCGACTCTTGAAGTAGGAAGGCACCAGAAGTCGACTGAGATCTGTGAGTCCAGAGGCACCTACTTTCAACGACTGGCGTGTGGTCTCACTGCTGCTATCCTCCTGTGGCGAGCGACCATGCCGCCGCCGATGCCGCAGACGGCGGCCAGCAGCCCCGCCAGGAAGCTCCACCGCACGATGGTGGTCGAGAGCTCGCGGAAGTCGAGGCTGCCGCGGCCCGCGGGCTCTCTGCCGCCCAGCCTCCTCGGCAGGGGGCGCGCCGCCGCCAGAGCTCGGGGGCTCGGGCTGGCTCGGGGCGTCCTCTTCCTCCTCCTCCTCCTCCTCCTCCTCCTCCTCCTCCTCCTCCTCCTCCTCCTCCTGCCGTCGGGTCGGGCCGGCAGTAGCACCGAAGCGGCGCGGGCGGCCCAGGTAGTTCCGACGGTCTTCTGGTTCGATCCACGCGTCCTTCGTCGGCTTCGGCCCCCAGGGGGCCGGCCCCACGCCTGGGGCCCATCAAAAACGGACCTGGGACGGAAAGCTGCCCCCGTGGAGGCGCTCGGGCCCTCTGGGGCTTCAGTGCAACAACAACAACATTAACAACAAGAACAACAACAACAACAACAACAACAACAACAACAACAACAACAACAACAACAACAACAACAACAACAACAACAACAACAACAACAACAACAGCAGCAGCAGCAACAACAATAAAACAAAATTACCCTGGCGACGTACCCAACCCCTGCGCAATGCGGGGCATGAGTAGCTTGGGAGTCGTTATACGGAGGTGATGACGTGACATGGGCGCATATACTTCTGCGAGCGGCATTCGTGAGGCTCGCAGCCCCCCAGGGATTGCCATGTCCCGCTCAGATCTGCCTGGTGCCTCGCTCCGCTGGACCCACCAGCAGCCCTCGAAAGTGGCGACAGTTTTGCAAATCGCAGCCCCCCAGGGACGGCGAGGTCCCGCTCAGGTCCGCGCGGTGCTTTCCTCCGCAGGACCCACCAGCAGCCCTCGAAAGTGGCGACAGTTTTGCAGATCGCAGCCCCCCAGGGACGGCGAGGTCCCGCTCAGGTCCGCGCGGTGCCTCACTCCGCAGGACCCACCAGCAGCCTTCGAAAGTGGCGACAGTTTCGCAGATCGCAGCCCCCCAGGGACGGCGAGGTCACGCTCAGGTCCGCGCGGTGCCTCACTCCGCAGGACCCACCAGCAGCCCTCGAAAGTCGCCGATAGATCGGCGATAGTGCTCCCAGTGGGAGAAAGACCCCACGCTGCTGGGCGGGGCGAGGACTGGGCCCCGATTGGCGATGAATGGGCGAGTGGGTCGATGCTCACCCCCCACTCAAGGACTCAACTGTACGATATCAAACTCTCTCGATGTGTTTTGGGTGCACCTAGCCCGGTTCAGCGTGCTTCAGTCGAGGGATCTCCCTATTCGACACCCTGAGCCAAGGACGCATACGGACGGAGACTACTCGCTCTGCTCACATCATACACGCACTGCAGCGCTGCACTCTTATGGCAGTCCCCGGCCCAGTCTTCACCTGTCGCTGCCCTGGGAGCACTGAGATTGAGATTGAATCGGATCGGCCGCGCCAGGATACACAGCGGCGCCGTGCGCGCATCAGGCCGCATCAAATCGCCGGAACGTCCTGGCCATCCGACGAATGATACGTTTTTGTTCAATGCGCGGCGCCAAGAGGTCCCGAAACCCTTCCCTGGGGAAGTTTTCTGCCCCAGGCTGGTTTTTGATGGCCCCGGGCCCGAGAGAGGGCCCCATGGGCAAAAATCAAAGAAGAGCGCCCGGATTGAGCCAAAAAATGTTAGGAGATCTGCGGTCGCGATCGGATCGGATGGGGGCGGCCAGGATCGGCATCGAATCGGATCAAAGCGGGCCCCGCCTGGCGTAGTGCAGGGCAAAGGCGCCCAGGCAGCCCGTGGCACACAGCACCAGGAGCCACCACGGCCACGTGCAGATGTCCACCAGGATGCCCTTCGCCAGGTTAATGACGACCGCGAAGAGCCACACGCCGAGGAAGTTGCGCTGCGCCTCGCTGATGTAGCCGTCCGCCTCGGAACGCTCGAGTCTCGAAGTTCGAGTTTGGAGGTGTCTGCCGTTTTCTTTGGTCATCGGCAGTTCCCAGCCTCTCCAGGATAATCCACAATGCGCATTGCCGAGACCGTCCCAGGGGTTCCCGGATCGCCCCGAACGGCCACCGGAGGCACAAGCTATGACTCGAAAACCGCCAAGTGACTGGCCAAGTGGGAGCAATATCGCGCCGGATTCGGCGATACATCGCCGACAGGTCGGCGGTAGGCCAACGATGGCGAATCCATACAGGCCTGAGCAGGGTGGGCTACCAGGAGCCCTGTCGGCGTTCAAAGAAACAAGTGGGGGTCGATGCATCCGCCTCGAGCATATCCCCCTCTAACCTCGCCCCTGATCGGCACAGGCGCTCGCTCTTTCTGGAACGATGCTTGCAGTGAGGGGCTCCTGCACGTACCCTTCACCGCGCGAGGAGTAGGAGTAGGAGGAGGAGGAGGAGGAGGAGGAGGAGGAGGAGGAGGAAGAGGAGGAGGAGAGGAGGAGGGAAGAGAGGAGAGGAGGAGGAGGAGGAGGAGGAGGACAACGAGGACGAGGAGGAGGACGAGCAGAGGAGGACGACGAGGAGGGGGGAGGAGGAGGATGAGGATGAGGATGAGGACGAGGATGAGAATGAGGAGGAGGAGGAGGAGGAGGAGGAGGAGGCGGAGGAGGAGGACGAGGACGAGGACGAGGAGGAGGGGGAGGACGACGAGGAGGGCGGGGGGAGGAGGAGGAGAAGGGGGAGGACCATAAGGAGGAGGAGGAGGAGGAGGAGGAGGAGGAGGAGGAAAAGCAGGAGGAGGAGGAGAAGCAGGAGGAGGAGCGGATACCCTCGCGCTCCCATCGGGCCACACGGCAGGTTGGCGCTGCGATGACGTCGGCTCTCGCTCCTGAATCCTCCCGGACCCCTCAGCCTCGAGCGACCGCGGCCTCCTGAGAGCGCACACCGTTCGATGTCGGCCGCCTCCGAGCCGCTGGCGTTGGGCGCTGCTGTCTGGGGGGCAATGAGTGAGCTACAGGGGCCCAGGGACCCACTAAATAAAACACACACACACACAAAAAAAAAATCCGGAATTCCCAGCACTTTCCGCGTTTCCTGCATGTTCGTCTTCCCCATCCACGTCCCAAGTGTTCCATGTTTTCCTAGGAATCGGGGGTTGTTTGTGTCTGTGTGTTCTTCGCCCTCCTGAAACACAGGGGGCGAAATACAGGTGCACCTTTCTTGCACATCCAGGGCCCCAGGGGGCCCCTTGACGGGCCCCCTGGGGGACCCTCGCCTGCAGCCCTCGATCCCCCCCCGCCCCCCACTCCTCGCCCCCTGTACTCAGGTCGGGCAGGTCCTCCTACAGGCAGATTGTCTAAGAAAATTCGCCGGCCCAACGGGCCAGGGCGTGCTAAGATCTCCGGTAACTGGTTAACAGTATTAACAGTATTTCTAGTTCGCGCGCGCGGGGCGGCCCCTGGGGGTCCCCCGGCGAAAAGTACCCCGACCAACGCCCGGTCGCCGCCCGACCGCCGCCCGACCGCCGCCCGACCAAGTCTACTCAGAGATGGTTTTCCTTCTGGGTGCGGCCTCTCAGGCTCCCCAGAGCGCGCTCAGAGTGCCCCAAGAGGCCCCCAAGACTGCCCAAGAGGCCCCCGAGACGCCCAAAGAGCGCTCGAAGACGCCGAAGATGACCCCAAGACGGCCCAAAAGGCCCCCAAGACAGCCCAAGACGGCCCACGAAGCTCCCAAGACGGCGCCGAAACGACCCAAGAGAGCCCTCAAGACGGCCCAAGTGCCGCCCAAGACGGACCAAGAGGCCCCAAGACGGGCCCAAGAGGGACTCAGGAGGGATACCGAGAACTCAAAAATGGAGCCCTCCGTCCCAGAAGGCGCCCAGGAGGTCCCAAAGAGGCCCCAAGAGGCCTCCAAGAGGCCCCAAGATGTCGCCAAGAGGCCCCAGGAGACTCCCAGGAGGCCCAAAAGAAGCCCCAGAAGGCTTCAAACATGTCTCCCAGGCGCCCCCGAACGGCCTCTCAACAGACCCCAAGAGGCCCCCCAAAGAAGCATCTTGACGACGACTCTATTTCGCCCCATCGAGAGACGACCCCCAGGGAACTGCTTCACCATCAAAACTCCCCACGCAACGCGTCCGAACGACACCCGCCCCCAAGAGCGCAACATGGGCAACGAACACACAGACAAAAACCAGCGATGCCATATCACGGGCCGGCGGAATGAGCGAAGCGATTCAATATAAAAAATAGTCCAACAAAAAACCGCAAGTAGTCCAGACACCACGGCAAAAGCGTCACCAGACTGTTCCCATACTGTTTTCGAGTCCTCCTCCCGTAGAGGCACACGCCCGACCTGACCCTGCACCTGTAGCGGACGGCCCGATGGCGACGCTCAACCTCGAACGCCGGCGCGAGGGAGCCGCCGCCGCGCCAGGGCGGCGCGAACCTGCCGGACCCGGCCATCTCGCCCGCGGGGCGCCCCAGGCGAGCGCGCGTCCCGGGGCCCCGGCCCTGTCGAAGGTGGAGGTATCCTCCTCGGAGCTCCCCAGGCTGTCCTCCTCGGCGAGGGCGGCCTTGGCGCCGTTGGGGGGGTCGGGCACCGCCTGGGCCTCCTGCTTCGCCTTCTGCGCGACCTTCCTCGGGGAGTCTCCAGCTGCGCGCGAGCGTTCCAGGGAGGTCGAAAGCACGGGGCGGTCTGTTACACATGGTCGGGCAACAATGCTCGGCTTGTCTAGCACGTCGGACGGGAACACGAAACCTCGTCTTCCACATGTCTTCCTCCTTCCGTTCCGCCCCCTCCTCCTCCTCCTCCTCCGCCTCCTCCTCCTCCTCCTCCTCCTCCTTCTTATTAATAATTTTATTATTAGTATTAGTATTACTATTATTATTAGTAGTAGTAGTATTATTATTAGTAGTAGTAGTAGTATTATTATTGTTATTATTAATATTAATATTATTATTAGTACTATCATTATTAGTAGTATTATTATTATTGTTATTATTATATTGGTGATATTATTACTATTATGATTGCTACTATTAATGTTATTATTATGATTATTCTTCTTATTATTATTATTAGTATTACTATTATTATTCGTAGGATTATTCTTTTTATTATTATTATCATTATGCTTCCTATTATTCGTACTATTATTATATTCCTCCTCCTCCTCCTCCGCCTCCTCCTCCTCCTCCGTCTCTTCCTCCTCATCCTCCTCCTCCTTCTCCTCCTCCTCCTCCTCCTCCTCATCATCATCATCATCATCATCATCATCATCATCATCATCATCATCATCATCATCATCATCATCATCTCATCCTGATCATCATCATCATCATCATCATCATCATCACCATCATCATCATCATCATCATCATCATCAGCATCATCATCATCATCATCATCATCATCATCATCATCATCATCATCATCAGCATCAGCATCAGCATCATCAGCATCAGTTTCAGCATCAGCATCATCATCAGCAGCATCATCAGCAGCATCATCAGCATCATCATCATCATCAGCAGCATCATCAGCATCATCATCATCATCAGCATCATCATCATCATCATCATCATCATCACAATCATCATCACCATCACCATCACCATCATCCTCAGCCTCATCCTCATCCTCATCCTCATGCTCATCCTCATCATCCTCATCATCCTCATCCTCATCCTCATCCTCATTATCATTATCAGCATCAGCATCAGCATCAGCATCATCATCATCATCAGCATCAGCATCAGCATCAGCATCAGCATCATCAGCAGCAGCATCAGCATCATCATCATCAGCATCAGCATCAGCATCAGCATCAGCATCATCATCATCATCATCATCATCATCATCATCATCATCATCAGCATCATCATCATCATCGTCATCGTCATCGTCATCGTCATCATCATCATCATCATCCTCGCCCTCCTCTGCTTCCCCCCTCCTAAGAAGAAAAATAGGAAGGGAGACGCAGAGGGCAGAACAGAAGCAGAGGGGCAGCAAGGGCGGAAGGGAGGGGGCAGGGAGGGGCAGCAAGAGGGGAAGGAGGGAGGAGCCGAGGAGGGAGGAGACGAGGAGGGAGGAGGGAGGAGGGAGGAGACGAGGAGGGAGGAGGGAGGGAGGAGACGAGGAGGGAGGAGGGAGGAGGGAGGAGGGGAGGGAGGGAGGAGGGAGGAGGGAGGAGACGAGGAGGGAAGAGCGGTAAGCAGGGAGGAGCAGGGAGGAGGGCGGCCTTCCCAGGTCTTCGCAATGAGCAGCGTGTCAAGAACGGTGACTGCACGGAGGAAGAGGCAGAGGAGAGAGCAGGAGGACGGGATCACGGACAGTGCGGCCATGCCGGCTTCCAGAAGAAGCCCACAGGCAGCGTAACTGGGCGAAGAAGCCAGCTCCCCAGAAGAGCTACGTTTCTCGAGTTCTGCCTTGCCGCAAGCATTGGGCCAAACCCGACTTGAAATACGAACCTAGATGCGGGAGGAGGTCTTCACAGATCTTCACAATGAGCACTTTGTCGAAAACGGTAACTACACTAAAAAAAAGAGGAGGAGGAGGAGGAGGAGGACAGGCAGGATGCATGAGAGGAGAAAAGAAGAAGGATTGCGCAAGAGACATGAAGGAAGAGGCAAGAGAGGCAGGAGAGGCAGAGGGAGAGGGAGGGGGAGAGAGGACGCAGCAGGGCAGAGGAGAGAGGGCAGGAGGGGAGAAGCAGTGAGGCAGGCGGGAGGCGGCGCGCCAGGCTGGGCCAGGGCTCCAGACACCCGACGTCGCGTGCCCATCTCCAGAAGCCCCGAGTCCAGAGAAACGACCACGCGATGCCCGCCGGCGGACCCGACACGCCGTTCTTCACTTCCGCCCTTGGCGAGGCGGCCGGCGACTCTGCGCTGGGTGGGCCCCAAGAAGTCCGCCCAGGACCAGTCCCCAGAGCTGAGGGGCAACGATAGGGGGGGATAGGCATAGGGTTAAGTCGGGCGTGTCCCCCTACAGGAGGATTTTCGACAAACATTTAAAAACACCCCCAAAAAATACTCCAAAAAGGTCAAAAAATATTCAAAAAATAGTCCCCAGACTATTTTTTGACTTTTTTTACTATTCCCCCTGTAGAGGGACAGGCCCGACTTCAGCATACGGGGGGGATGCATCGACCCCTCAATCGGCGATGCATCGCCGATAGATCGGCGATAGGCCCCCGATGGCGAAGCCGCACCCTCCTGGGCGGGGTGGGGCTACGAGACCCCATATCGGCGATCCGTGGGCGACTTAGGGGTCGATGCATCCCCCCCCTGTGCCTATCTGGGCGAGCAACGACATATGTACATGTACGCCCTCCGCGGTCTTGCCTGCACGAACGTCCGCGTTGACACGCACTCCAGGGGAAGCTGACCGCGTACGTGTACATATGTTGCTGGCCTCTGCCTATCCCCCCCCCATCGTTGACCCTGCAGAGCCCTCACGAGGCCGAAACGGGCCACTTCTTCGAGCCGCGCCCTCCCGTGGCGACGAGGGGATGGGGCCTCTCGTCTGCCTCCTCTCTCTGGAGGGGCCCCAGGACACACAAAGAAATACACACCAATAAAAATATTCTCCCATATTTTCCCATATTTTCTGGGTCTTTGTCTTCCCCCCCACTTCCCATATTTTCCCATATTTTCCTGGGAATCGACGATGAATTGTGTCTGTGTGGTTTTTCCTCTCCTGACTCCCCCCAGCCCGAGGCCCGCTTCTCGACGCTCCCCGGGGCCCGCCGCGGGCCTCCCGCCGGGCCCAGACTGGCAGAGAAAAAACAGAATCTCGATGTGGCCACGAGCCCCGACCTCGAAGCAGGTCGAATGAAGGGGCCTTGGGACACACACATAAATACGCACAAATAAAAGGATTCCCCATATTTTCCCATATTTTCTGGGTTTCTGTCTTCCCCACCACTTCCCGTATTTTCCTATATCTTCTGGGAAATCGACGATGAATTGTGTCTGTGTGTTTTTTGTCCCTCCTGAGATGTGGCCACGAGCCCCGACCTCGAAACAGGTCGAAGTCAGCGGGCGCAAGGGTGCGAAAGCGGTCAGGCGCGGGTCGGGCTGAAGGCGGGGCGCGCCGAAAGCGAGAGTAGAGGCCTCCTCGATGGGGTCCGAGCGAGTGGGGGTCGGAGGATCGCGCCGCATCGCCGATGCATCGGCGATGCATCGGCGATGCATCGGCGATGCACCGGCGATGCATCGTCGACGTGGGCGAGACATCGGCGACGTCGACGTGAAGCAAATCGGGCTACACATCGAGCCGCATCGGCGATGCATCGGCGATGCGGCGCGATCCTCCGGCCGCATCTAGGAGGCCTAGAATTAGGTCGGGCATGTCCCCCTACAGACGGATCTTGGACGAAAACCAAAAAATAGTCAAAAAATGTTCAAACTAATACCAAGAATATTCCAGATCTCGTCCCCCGACTATTTTTGGACTGCTCTTGGATGTTCCTCCTGTAGAGGGACAGGCCCGACTCAAGCCCAGAGAGATGGGGCGCGAGGGCCGAGGGAGGCGCGGAGCGGCGGCAGGGGAGACGGAGCCGCCCAGGGCGTGCAGGCGGCCCTGAGCACACGCGCGCTGGCAGCCACGGCGGGGAAGGCCGGTACACAGGCGGAAAGACTGGGCAGAGCCGAGCAGCACGAGGGAGGAGGAGGAGGTGGAGGAGGAGCCAGAGGGAGGAGGAGGAGGAGGAGGAGGAGGAGGAGGAGGAGGAGGAGGAGGAGGAGGAGGAGGAGGAGGAGGGAGGAGGAGGGGGAGGAGGAGGAGGAGGGAGGAGGAGGACGAAGGAGAAGGACGAGGAGGAGGACGACGACGACACCGCCGAGGGCTGCCGAGGGCCACCGGCACGTCGATGTGTCGACACGTCGAGGTCGACGCCGGCGGCCCTCAGCGACCAGGCATCAGAAATTGAGAGGACGCCTTCAGCCATGCGAACACGGCGGGGGTGTCCAGCACCCCAGCGTCGATTGGGCCCGCAGGAGCAGGCTTCGCAGTGTGTCGCAGAGCGACGACGACCCAGAGATCCGATGTCTTGACTTTTGCAATGCGGCGTCCACAGAAGTCCCGAGCCTTTCCCTGGGGCCAGCTTTAGGTCGGGCATGTCTCCCTACAAGCGGATTTTGGACGAAATCTAAAAAATAGCCCAAAAAATGCTCAAGAATCGTCCCCTGACTATTTGTTGACTATTTTTGAATTTTCCTCCTGTAGAGGGACAGGCCCGACTTAAGGCCAGCTTTGTGGTCCTGAGTCGTTGTCGGACGGTCCCGAGGCCCAACGAGTGCCCCCCCCCGGAGGCCTAGAACGACGAAAGCACTCAGCCTTGTTGCTTTCAACACGTTGGAGATCTGGGTGGGCATCGTCAAACCGATCCCTATCCCCACTGGTGTGGCCTGGGCCCCACTGACCGATTCACCCCGCTACATGGGGATATAGGCTGCTCCCTTCGGGTTTCGAGGGGTATATCCCCAGCTGGGGGGATGAGATGGTGGGGGTCTGGATGGGGATGGGGGTAGGGGTGGGGATCGGTCAAACGATACTGACTGGGGACGAGTGTTTGGAGGTGCCTGGGCTCCTGGCATTCTTCACGCCCTTCAGGGCCGCGTCGCCCAGCACCAGGCAGAGCAGCGCCACCAGCAGCGCTGGCGGGGCCGTGTTGTGCACGATGCTGCCGAGGAGTGGAGAGAGGATCGAGGTTCGATGATTGAGGTTCAGAGACATCGGGGATCGAAGGTCGGCGTTCGAATAGACCGAGGTTCTAAAATCGATGTTCGAGGATATCGAAGATATCGAAGATCGAAGATCGAGGTTCGAAGATAGAGGTTCGAGGATCGAGGTTCAAAGATATCACATCGAGGACCGAGGTTCGACGGTCGAGGGTCTAAGATCGAGGTTCGAAGAGATCGAGAATCGAAGAATCTCGAGGATCGAGGCTTCGAGGCCGTGGAGGCGCCTGGGCGTCGTTCGGCCTCCCCGGGGCGCCCTCGTGGCCGCGGCTGCCGTCCCCCCCTGCAACCCTGGCCCGCGTGGCCACTGCTGGCTGCGCACTCGGCCACTGGACCCCTTTTGCCTACCCGTCGGCCCTCGGCGGCCTTTCGGCGGTCTCGCGGCGGCCGTCGGCGGTCTGCGACGCTTCCCTGGCCGCCGTCCGACGGCCGCCCGGCGGCCGCCTGGCGGCCCTCGGTGGTCCTCGACGGCCTCTGGCGGTCTTCGGCGCGAGAGCCCGACGGCGGCGCTCGACGAGGGAGCCAGCAGCGGAAGCCGAAGGCAGCTTGAGGCCTCCCGGGGCGCCCCCGCGGCCGCGGCTGGACCCCCCTCGAGATGCTCGCCAGCACGCACCCCCGGGGCGGGCCCGGGGGTCGACTGCTGACGCCCGAGCCCAGGCGCCCGCAGGTCGTGGGAAGCGGCACGGCGGAAGGCCTTCGGAGACTTGGAGCCTCTCCTTCCTCCACCTCCTCCTCCTCCTCCTCCTCCTCCTCCTCCTCCTCCTCCTCCTCCGCCTCCTCCGCCTCCTCCTCCTCCTCCTCCGCCTCCTCCTCTTCCTCCTCCTCCTCCTCCTCCTCCTCCTCCTCTCCTCCTCCTCCTCCTCCTCCTCCTCCTCCTCCTCCTCCTCCTCCGCCTCCGCCTCCTCCGCCTCCGCCTCCTCCTCCTCCTCCTCCTCCTCGTCCTCCTCCTCCTCCTCCTCCTCTTCCTCCTCCTCCACCTCCTCCATCCATCCATTCATTTTCCTTGTAGATATATCCTCCCTGTCGCACCCCAGACGTGTCGATAGGGCGAGCCAGGCGTTGCCCGAGACTTCCTCATCACTGATGATCCTGAATCTGAAAAGGCGCGACGGCAACACAGATGGAGGGGGGCGTGTTCAAAACGGGGCTCCCGCCATGGCGCTGGTCGATGTCAAAATGGGACTATCGCCTGAGCGCTGGGCACATTCGTCTCAAAAGCTCGCAACAGCTACAAGGAAGGAGCACAGATCGTCTTCAAAATGGGGCTAGCACCGCTGCGCCCCGCACACATTCGTCTTAAAAGCTCGCAGCAGCTGCAAAGATGGAGCACAGGTCGTTTTCAAAAAAAAGTCCTCTCGCATGAACGCCACGCAAATTCGTCTAAAAAGTTTGCAGCAGCTGCACGGATTGGTGGCGGCTCTTTTTCAAAATGGGGATCTCACCTTCGCGCCGCGCACATTCACTTTGTAGCAATTTGAAGAATGGGGCAATTGCCCCAAAATGTCTTAGTTATAATGACCGGAAAATTCAACATATGTAGCAGCTGCTCGAATGGACGGCGGTTCCTTTTCCAAATGGGGTTTCGCTTGGGACACCCTCGAAGTTCATGACCACAAGTGCAAACTTGTGCAAGAGTTGCATGGAGATCTTGCTGGACACCAAGTTGAACTGCATGACCATACGTCTTCGCACTCCTGATTGCGCACCAGACGGATGCAAGGCACTCAGTTTTTCCAAAACGGGACTCTCGCCTAAATGGAAGGCCCACAGAGTTCTGGTTTTTCAAGGTCGGGAGCGGCCAAGAGGGGGGTGTCCAAGAGGGGGGGTGCAAATCATGACCGGCGGCACGTGCGCGGCCCAGCGGGGGGGCCAGGGACGTAATGAAGTAAGAAAAGGCGCCATGAAATCTGGGGAAATATCATAGCCCACGCCATGATATCCACCCCCCCCTAGTCATCACCCCCCTCTTTTCCGCCCCCGACAAGGGGCGCTTCTTGTAGAGCAAAGGAAGGCTTGTAGGCACGTATGAGGATGGGGCCTGGCACCTGAAGGCGTCTTGCAGCATCGCTGATGCCATCCTGGGCTTGGGTTTGCTCTGGTCCTCCTCCCCTGCTCGACCTCCTCGGCCTCGTCCTCCCACTCCCCCTGCTCCTCCCCCTCCTCCTTCCCTTCCCTCCTCCTCGCTCCTCCCTCCTCCTCGCTCCTCCCTCCTCATCGCTCCTCCTCGCTCGTCCCCCCTCCCTCCCCGAAGCGGAGGCAGAGGAGGAGACGATGCGCTGCCGATCTGCGCCCCCGACATCAACGCCGGCGCCATCAGGCACGCCAGCTCGAAGTCCACCAGCGGCCTCGTCGGGTCGCGGGGGTGGGTGTGCCTGATGTTGTACAGGAACGCCTTGGGGGGCACGCCAACCACGCGCCGACTGGCGCGCCATCGTCGCCAACGACGACGTCGTCGCCTCGTCGTCGTCCTCCTCATCATCCTCCTCCTCTTCCTCCTCCTCCTCCGCCTCCTCCCCCTCCTCTTCGTCGTCGTCCTCCTCCTCCTTCTCCTCACTTCTCCCTCTTCCTCTTTCCCCTCCGCCACCTCCACCCCTCTTCTTTGTAGACAACTCCGCCCTGTCGCACCACCAGACGCGTCGTCAGGGAGTGCTGGGCGCTTCGCCTGGCTCCCTCTCCGTTTACAATTTTGGAACTCGACACCTCCAAAACATACACGGGTGGAGGGCGGGTGACTTGCGCGCCGGGCGCACACGTCTTGAAAACTTCCAGCAATTACGCACATATGGAGGGCGGCGAGCTTTCAAACTTGGACTATCGCCTTGGCGCCGCGCACTCGTCTGAACAAAATCCGAAAGTTACACGGCTGATGGACAAACCGTTTGAATGAGAATATCGCCTTGGCGCCGCGCACACTCGCCTCAAGTGTACACGGATGGAAGCAAATATTTTTCGAAACGGGTGCTCGCCTTGTCGCCACGCACACTAGTTTTAAAATATCGAGAGTGGTACAAGGATAGAAAGTGGTGCCTTTCCAAAAAAAGCTCTCGCCTGAGACTTCCTCACAATATATTGCCACGTCACACGTGCGAAAAATAGGCAATAGCTGAACGGATGGCGGGCGGTTGGGTTACAGAATGCGGTACTTGCGTGAGACGTCGCTAGGTTGACCACCAGAAGTTTAACCAATGTAACAAGCTACGCTGATGGAGGACGGCTCCTTGTCAACGCGGAGCCGTCGCTGGGTCTTCCCTTACAATGTATGACCCTACCTGATCGCACTTCGTGTGGTTCAAAGGATGGAGGCTGTTTCTGCCAAACAGAGCTCCCGCCTAAATTGCGGGCCCATGGGGAAAGGGGGCGCTTCGCGCTGTGATGGTTGCTACGTCTTGGAATCACTGCTCATACTCATCCTCCTCACATCATCATCATCAGCATCATCATCATCATCATCATCATCATCATCATCATCATCATCATCATCATCCTTCCCGTCGTCCTCTTCCTCGTTATCATCATCACCACCGCCATCATCATCTTTTTCGTCATCACCACCACAATCATCATCGTCAACATCATCATCATCGTCATCATCATCAGACCATCATCATCATCATCGTCATCACCATCAGCATCAGCATTACCACCACCATCATCAGCCTCACCACCACCACCACCATCGTCACCATCATCATCATGATCATCAGAAGCAGCAGCGACATTGTTATCACCATCGCCATCGTCATCGTCATCATCGTCGCCATCATCATCACCATCATCGACATCATGACCACAATCACCACCAACATCATCAGCAGCAGCATCAGCATCATCGTCACCATCATCATCACCAGATCACCATAATCATCGTCATCATCATCAGCATCAGCATTACCACCACCATCATCAGCCCCACCACCACCACCACCACCATCGTCACCATCATCATTATCAGAAGCGACAGCGACATTATCATCACCATCGCCATCATCATCATCGTCGTCATCATCACCATCATCAACATCATCACCACAACCACCACCACCATCATCATCATCAGCAGCAGCATCAGCATCATCGTCGGCATCAGCATCATCTGCACTATCATCAGCATCATCGTCATGACCAGCATCATCATCATCATGATCAGCATCGTCATCATCCTCATCAGCGTCAGCGTCAGCATCATCATCAGCATCACAATCACCATCGTCATCATCATTATCAGCATCCTAATCATCACCATCACCATCAGCATCAGCATTACGATCAACAACAGCAGCCCCACCACCACCACCACCACCATCGTCGCCGGCATCGTCAGAAGCAGCAGCCAAATCATCATCGCCATCGTCACCATCATCGTCATCATTATCACCATCATCAACATAATCAACGGCATCACCACCACAACCCTCATCATCATCATCAGCAGCAGCATCATCATCACCACCATCACAATCAGCATCCTTGTCGTCGTCAGCAACGCGATCGTCATCCTAATCATCAGCAGAATCAGCATCATCTTCATCATCAACATCATCATAAGCAGCAGCACCATTCTCATCCGCATCATCAGCATCATCATCAGCATCATTCGTCTTCATCATCATCACCGTCATCGTCATCGACAGCATGATTATTATCAACACAATCACTGGCGTCCTCACCATCAGCATCAGCACCAAAAGCATCATCAGCATCACAGTCACCATCAGCAGGATCATCATCATCATCACCCTCATCAGCATCATCATCATCGTCATTATCATAAGCAGCATCATCATCGTCGTCATCAGCATCATCATCATCATCATCATCATCATCATCATCATCGGCACCAGCATCAGCAGCTGCATCATCATTACCATCACCACAACCATCGTCATCACCACCACCACCGCCACCACCCTGATCAGCATCACACCACCGTCGTTATCGTCATTATTAGCATCATCAGCATCATCAGCATCAGCAGCATCAACAGCATCATCATCAAATCCATTATCATCATCATAATCGTTATCGTAATCATCGACATCCTCATCGCCACCATCATCAACAACATCAGTATCATCATCATCAGCATCGCCAGCAGCAGCGGTGTCGTCATCATCATCATCGGCATCATCAGCATCAGTATCCGCATCGGCATCATCATCATCATAATCATCATCACCATCATCAGCATCATCATCACGATCATAACCAATATCAGCATCACCATCACCACCGCCACCATCATCGTCATCAGCAGCAACATCGTCACCATCGGTGCTCGTCCTCCACCGTCCCATCTTCCCGTCTGTCCCGCTCCCGCTCCGCAACGTTCCCAGGGCGCCCGCGCAGTGCTCGGCCCGCACACGCACGCGCGCCCCGAATCGCCTCCTCGTCTGCTTCTCCATCGCACAAGTATTCCTAGCATTAGTATTATCACGAGTATTGTTCGTATGATGGTTCTAATTAGCATTATCATTCGCACTACTAATTGTAATATGTTTATCGTTAGTAGTATGTGCCTTCGTCTTACTATCCTTAGTAGCCGTCGGATTATTATTCTGAATAATGTTACCCGTAGACTTCTTATGCATAGTGCTGTTTCGTCAGAGTCTTACTAATAGGCGTCTTATTAGTAATGTATTCTTGTTTACTGACATTATGTCGATTAGTCGCATACGTCTTCATAGTACTAAAAATATGCGTAGTCGTAGCCTTGGTCATGGTACTGTTATTGTTAGGCTTCTCAGTCTGCGTATTACCAGTAGAAGTATTAAGATTACCAATGGTAGTATGATTAGTAGCGGTATTAGTGCTCGTGTTCGTCTCCTTAGTGTTATTATGACACGTCTGATTCATAGTATTCCTCCTACTCAGGCTCCGCCCCCACAGCATCATCATCACCATCATCATCATCAGCATCCGCGTCATCATCATCATCATCATCATCATCATCAGCAACATCATCATCATCATCATCATCATCATCAGCAGCAGCATTATCATCATCACCATCAGCATCATCAGCATCATCAGCATCGTCATCATCATCAGCAACATCATCATCACCATCCTCATCCAAATCCTCATCATCCTCCACATCCTCCTCCTCCTCCTCATCCTCATCCTCCTCCTCATCCTCCTCATCCTCATCCTCCTCGGTCCTCCTCCTCATCGGTCCTCCTCCTCCCCCTCCGCCCCCTTCCTCCTCCGCCCTCCTCCAGCTTCCCCGCGGGCTTTTAATGGGCGCCCCCGAGCGCCGCCGCCGCACCGCCACCAAGCATGGACTGCGACATGGCCGTGGCGAACCGCGTGTCGAAGGACAGCGCCGCCATCAGCAGCGGCACGAAAAGGCCGCCACCCCCGACGCCAGCCGCGAGCGAGATGCCTCTAGGCGGCGCGCAGGGTCCCCTCCTTCTCCTCCTCCTCCTCCGTTTCCTCCTCCTCCACATCCTCATCCTCCTCATCCTCCTCCTCTTCCTCCTCCTCCTCCTCCGCCCTCCTCTGCCTCCTCCTCCTCCTCCTCCGCCTCCTCACCCTCCTCATCCTCATCTTCCTCATCCTCCTCCTCCTCCCCCTCCTCCTCCTCCTCCTCCTCCTCCTTCTCCTCCTCCTGCTCCTCCTCCTCTTCCTCCTCCTCCACCTCCTCCTCCGCCTCCACGTCGTCGTCGTCCTCCTTATCCTCCTGCTCCCCTCCCCCTCCTCCTCCTCCTCCTCCTCCTCCTCCTCCTCCTCCTCCTCCTCCTCCTCCTCTCCTCCTCCTCCTCCGCCTCCTCCTCCCCCTCCTCCTCCCTCCTCCTCCTCTCTCCTCCTCCTCCTCCTCCTCTCATCCTCGTCCTCCTCCTCCTCCTCCTCCTCCTCCTCCTCCCCTCTTTCCTCCTCCTCATCCTCCTCCTCCCCCTCTCCCCCCTCCTCCTCCTCATCCTTCCTCCTCCGCCGCTCCTCCTCCGCATCATCGGTACCACCATACTCGTCATCATCATCATCATCATCATCTCATCATCATCATCATCATCATCATCATCATCATCATCATCATCATCATCATCATCATCATCATCATCATCATCATCAGCATCATCATCATCATCATCATCAGCATCATCAGCATCATCATCATCATCATCAGTCTCAGCATCATCATCATCATCATCATCATCATCATCATCATCATCATCATCATCATCATCATCATCATCATCATCATCATCATCATCATCATCATCATCATCATCATCATCATCATCATCATCATCATCATCATCATCATCATCATCATCATCATCATCATCATCATCATGCAACAGCAGCATCGTCATCACCATCATCACCATCATCATCATCATCATCATCAGCATCATCATCATCATCATCGTCAGCATCATCATCATCATCATCGTCATCATCAGAATCATCATCATCGTCATCATCGTCATCATCATCATCATCAGCAGCAGCATCATCATCATCAGCATCATCATCAGAAGCATCATCATAATCAGCAGCAGCATCATCAGCATCATCATCATCATCATCAACAACATCAGGATCATCATCATCACCACTATCATCACCATCATCATCAGCATCATCATCACCATCATCATCATCATCAGCATCACCATCATCGTCATCATCAGCAGCATCATCATCATCCTCATCATCATCATCAGCATCATCATCATCGTCATCGTCATCATCGTCATCATCATCATCATCAGCATCAGCAGCATCATCAGCATCATCATCATGATACGCAGTATCAGCATCATCATCATCATCATAATCACAATCATCATCATCAGCAGCATCAGCAGCAGCAAAAGCAACAGTAGCATCATCATCAGCATCATCGGCAGCATCAACATCATCATCATCGTCATCATCATCAGCATCATCAACATCGTCATCATCAGCAGCATCATCATCACCAGCATCATCATCATCATCATCATCATCATCACCATCATCATCATCATCATCATCATCATCATCATCATCATCATCATCATCATGGTCATCATCATCATCCTCAGCATCATCATCGTCATCATCATCATCGTCAGTGTCATGATAATCATCATCACCACCATCATCATCAGCAGCAGCATCAGCATCATCGTCTTCAGCATCATCATCATCATGATCGTCGTCATCATCATCATCGTCATCATCATCAGCATCAGCATAATCATCATCGTCAGCATCATCATCCCCAGCATCAGCATCAGTATCATCATCATCATTATCATTAGCATCATCATCGCCATCATTATCATCAGCATCATCATCATTATTATCATCATCGTCAGCATCATCATCGTCATCCTCATAATCACCATCATCACCATCATCATCATCATCATCATCATCATCATCATCATCATCATCATCATCATCATCATCATCATCATCATCCTCATGCTCATCCTCATGCTCATCCTCATCCTCTTCCCTCCTCCCTCCTCCCTCCTCCCTCCTCCCTCCTCCCCTCCTCTCCTCCTCCCCTCCTCCCTCCTCCCTCCTCCACTTCCCCTTCCCCTCCTCCCTCCTCGCGCCGACCGCGGCGGCAGTCGAGGCCCGAGGGGTGGCGGCACCGCAGCCCGCGCGGCGCGCGGCGGCGCGCAGATTCCCCAAATCTCCGACGATGTGATTTTGTCCATCCTGTCCATCCGGGCGATTTTTCCATGTTTTGGGCCTGCGAGGCCCGTCAGCAGGCCCCCCAGGGGAGGCGCCGGGACCTCTGGGGCCATTGGAAAAAAGCCGTGCGGTGGGCTGTCGGCGGCGGGCCCGCAGGGAGAGCGGGAGGGGGCCGGCCTTCCCAGAAGGCTCGGAGATCCCCCGAGCCTTCTGAGAAGTTCTCTACGCCTTCCCCGAAGACACGGACAACTTGTCAGAAGGCACGAGGGCTCCTGAGAGGTCCCGCCGCCTTCTGAGAAGGCCGTCTCATGCTCATTCTCCCCCCCCTCGCTCGCCGCCGAGGACTCGCAGAAGGCACCAGCACACCACTCTAGCGCCTGCCTAGCCGGGGCCATCATGGGCCCTGAGGAGGAGGAGGAGGAGGAGGAGGAGGAGGAGGAGGAGGCGGAGGAGGAGGAGGCGGAGGAGGAGGAGGAGGAGGAGGTGTGCGCGTGCACGCGCCCTCCTGGCCGAGGGCCGGCGGGTGCGTGCGCCGTCCCGGGTCACGGGACGGCCCTGGCTGGGCGCGGTGGTGTCCGGGCGCCTGCTGCTGCGCGGTCATCG